AACTGCTCACCATTTGGAAATTTATTAGCGATTCCTCTTTGCTTGTCTTTCCCTTATGTTGAAATTCCCTAGGACTCTGCCCTTGCTCAGACCTCTTCCTACACCCAAGCAGAGGTCAAAACATTAGAATGAGTTAAAGGCACATGCTGGTAACAAAAATTAAATAAGCGGGGAGGTCAAGTGACCTAGAGTGTATACATTTCATCCAAAGGAAGTAGCCTTGACTCGATGTCAGCCTATCCCTTGAAAAACCTCAAAATTGTGAGATTGTCCATATATTTCAATGGAATCTAATTTCATTTTTAATTTACCAGAAAGTACGTGCATTCATCAGAGAGAAACAGAGAAAGAAAATTAGAAAGCATCTGCCATGGGAGATGGTCACTCCGCAATCACTTCTCTTCCATCTCTCTCTCCTTTCAGGATTTTGGGCATGCACATACATGTGCCCACCATGCTTTTCAAGCTGCTAGGATCAGGATTACAATTGCACAGTTGGCTATGTGAGATCCACCAGCTTTAACCACCATGCCACTGGCTAGCCCCAGTGGAATCTAATTTTTAAACGTGAAGGAAAACAATCCCAGTTTGTAAATGTTCTTTCTTATTCTCAGCTTCCCAACCCAAGTCTCATTCGCATAAATGCTTTGCATTCTATTACACCTAAAATTAAAACCGCTCTCATGCTGAAATCCTGTAGCTCCCCATTGCCTCGGAGTAGAGTTTAAGTTCTTTGCGTAGGTGTTTGAGGCTCTCCTTGCCTATTCTTCAGTACAGACACCCACCCCTACCTGTCATGCTGCTCTCTGACTGTGGCATGCAGGTAACACTGTAGAAACTGAATGCAGTGGGGGGGCCAAGCACAGGTCCTCCCCTCAGGCTGCTTTCAGTCTTCTTGGCAGACTAACTGGTAAATAGGCCTATGCACACAGCGTCCCCAGAACTCTGTGGGAGTCCTCCCATGGCCTGCTGTATAATAACACAAATGTATGTTTGTGATGTCCTTCAGGAAAAGAACTGGTAATTGGAACATAGTGTTCCAACGCTCAAGGTTTGTTGAGTGAATAAATGAATATAATAAAGGTTATTATAGTTCATCTCTCTATAGTTAGATTTGTCAGGCTTTATATAATTGGGAACTAAGATCCAATCAGTTAAAAAATCTAACCAGAATTTACCACAGGTATTTGGTTGTTTTGCTTTTTACATAAATATTTAGGAAGGAAAAAAATGGAAGACAATTGGGGCCAGCAGGTGAAGTGTTGGTTGAGGCGACTGGGCTCCCACATGGCTGACCACGGTGCGAGTTCTGGAGCTGGCACTTCCTCTCTCTCTCTCTCTCTGTCTCTCTGGTCAACTTCAAAAAAAATTAAAATAAAATAAAATAATGGCAATGAATAATTTTTTTTAAAAAATGGAAGACAATTATCATAAATACCAAGGTATCTCAAAAAGTTTATGGAAAATGGAATTAAGGTATGAGTTTATTTTGGTGCAAAAGTTTTTTAAAATCTATGCATAGTTTTGTTGTAATATACATTTTCCATGTAACTTTTTGAAGACCCCTTGCACACTTCTCCCACCCCCTCTTCCCCTATTATACTCAGAGGTCAAGTCAGGATCCACATTCCATGATTTCCAAATTGTAAAAGGAAAACCAGCATTCCTTATGACTGTCTATGCCTAAAAGGCAAGTTATTTGAACAAAGAATAATGAAATAATGAAAATTCCTCATGAAATTAAAAATAAAGGTGAAATATTCACACACACACAAAAAGATTTTGCACTTCACTTTCTTGCTCAAAAATCTCCAATTGGGACCGGCAGGTGGCATGGTGGTTCAAGTCGCTCAACTCCCACATGGTTGACTGAGGTTCAAGTTCCAGACTTGGTGACTTGCTTTCTCACTTTCCCTCTCTCTCTCTGTTTCTCTCTGATCAAACTGGAAAGTAATAATAATGATAAATAAAGTTGAGTAAAATAATTCTTTAAAAAATTTGAATTCCTAATACTGAATGCTAAAAGGTAACCGTCCTGTGCTTCTTATCATGATCTCTCATGCTTCAAACCAATTCCATGGGGATATTCCATTTAACAGTGGACTGGATTTGACTGTTTCTTCTTATACTGACTTTTTGTTTGTTTGTTTCCCCCCAAGAAAGAATTTACCTACAACACACTCATAGAACGTTGAAAGAAAAATCTTGGCAGATTTTCCAAAAAGAGCAGCATTTGCCACATGTTTGTATCTTTTTTTGGTGACTTGCTTTCTCACTTTCCCTCTCTCTCTCTGTTTCTCTCTGATCAAACTGGAAAGTAATAATAATGATAAATAAAGTTGAGTAAAATAATTCTTTAAAAAATTTGAATTCCTAATACTGAATGCTAAAAGGTAACCGTCCTGTGCTTCTTATCATGATCTCTCATGCTTCAAACCAATTCCATGGGGATATTCCATTTAACAGTGGACTGGATTTGACTGTTTCTTCTTATACTGACTTTTTGTTTGTTTGTTTCCCCCCAAGAAAGAATTTACCTACAACACACTCATAGAACGTTGAAAGAAAAATCTTGGCAGATTTTCCAAAAAGAGCAGCATTTGCCACATGTTTGTATCTTTTTTCATCCTGGAGTATCAACATTAATATGATTCCCTGACTCTGTGTCTGCCATTCCCAGTAGCTTTACACAAAATACGGCATACAGAGACTTGTTCATAATTTGTTAATCTTTTATTTATTTTGTGTTTCTATGGAGGAAATAAAATCTTTTAAAGTGCAAGGGTCTTGCCTATGAAGTCAGGGGGGAAAAGTAGAAATATGTGTTGAGAAAACCCAGTTCACCTGGGGCATTATTGCCATAGTTTTCCAAAAAGAGAAAGTGGTACTTAAAGAATCAATTCCCAGTAATATTTCTCCTAGCTAAAACCTTGTAATTCGGATGACCTCTGAACTGAGACTCTTTGCGTCTCCTTTTCTCATTAGGTTTTATTGTAGCCAACACAACTTTCAGTGGTGAATTACTCTCTCACTCAATGGAATACTAGACTCATAATGTCTGCACAAATCGAAGTCATGAAATGACTTTTAACCAAGCTTTAGGGAATAGGGGGAGGGGAAGAGCACCAAGGTCTTCTCATCTCTATGCTAACCAAACTTTAGTTTTATACCCCTTTTTCTTACCTGTGGGGGAAAAAAAATCAATCAAAAGCAGAAATGCCACTGATCTTAAAAACCTCATTTAAAATCATCAGATTTCTTTTTCAAGTTCCCTTGATCTCCAAGTCATTTCCACAAGTATTATGAACAAATGAGCCCTAAACTCATGGATTAGCTAAGACCTAGTATAATAAATAAATACTTTTAAAGGTAGTCATAGTGTCGAGAAATGATATCTGCTCCACACACCTGGGCCAGACACACCAAGTCAAAAACAAGGAAATTTGTTTTAACATGGAAGGTTGGAAAGCATTTTTTTTTTCACCTTTATGTCACCTATTTATGAAATACTTAAGGTTTATTATGCATCAGAAATAAGACAAGTTCTTGCCCTCAAATCATTTATACTTTTGTTGAGCAGCCAAAACGTAACGTGATTTTAAAAAGAAGACACAGTAAAAGACAATACAGTTAAGTCTTAACGTGGTAGAGAAGCTATGAGACCGAGGACATCAGAAGAAAGAAAAGATTGCTGAGAGCTTGGACTATCAGGAATATGTATTTTCGACATAATCTTAAAGTGACGCCAGATTAGACCGTTGTTATAATTACTACCAATTTGTAATTTTAAGGCAGTTACATGATCCACCATGGCTTTCCAATCAGTAGCTGTTCAAAAGGACACATGTGGACAGTTGCAACTGGCAGGAGACAGTTCTTTATAATCTCCCTGGATTTGTTAATGAGGGGGAAAAAAGACATACTTTCATGCTGGATAAGGGACACAGAATCTGAGCAGATTTTGTAAGGGGAATATGAAATTTAATGAACAAGAATACAGAACACTGGCTGTGAATTTTAGTATGCATTATTGTTTCAAATGAACGGGTTTCTTCCAGCCCAATAAGGACTTTTACGTTTCAGGGGAGAGAAGACTCAAGAAATAATTTCTAGTTTTTTAATTATCTATTTTTACAATATATTTTCCTTTTAAGAAAAGTGCACTAGAAGTGCAAGTTTTATTCTCAAAGCAATGAGAATTTTCTAACTCTTCAAAATGAGGAGGTGGAAGAGAGGGAGGAGGGGCATTTAGCATCCTTTACAATTGAGGCTTCTGGGCAGCAGCTTCTTATCTTTTGAAATAGCAAAATTTGAAGAGTGCATTTGCACTCGGGATCTTAAAATGCTTTTCACTTTACAGTTTGGCAAAGATCCTGGTTTCTTTGTATTTCTTACCTTTTCAGTCTTTGCGAGGCAAGCAGACTGAGCTAAATTAGATTTGTTATAATGGGGTTTAAACTACTGAAATATAGGCATGTCTCATCTTGCCTCTTGAATAACTTTAGACAAGTTTAGAGAACTGTAGTAAGCATTTCTTTCTCTCCATACTTTATTGCATTCAGGGTCTTCCCAAGAAATGTCAGTTGTTTCCTCAGTTCTAAAAAGGGACTTTTTCAATAACGGTTGTACAACCAGGCAAAAGAGCACACTCCCGTGTTCCCTTAAGAGGAGGAAACCCGCAATAATGTGGGGTAATTAAATTTAGCCTTAGAAGAATCTTTGAAACGTTCTAATCAAGACTTCCAGCGCTCCAAGTGTGTGTCTGCGCTTTAATTTTCAATTCTTCCTGGTCCCGATTTTGCATTTCTAATGAGAGTGAACTGACAAAGCGTGAAAGTGGTCTAAGGAGCAAAACAAAGCCAGCAAGCATGCTTCTGGTGTGCCAAGATTAATCAATATTCCAGAAACCTCAGGGTCCCACCCCCCTCCTTCCCAGGGCTGTTTTCATTTCCCCACTCCCCCTTTCCCGGGCACAGACTCCTCCCCTTATCTTAAGTTGCCGTGATAGTAACTTGCAGTTTCAGAGCACATGCACGCTGTCAGGGCTAGCCTGCCTGCTCGCTGCGTTTGGTTACTCGTTGTACCTGCTGGGGAATTCACCTTGTCATTGCCTGGAGTATCTTCCACCCGTTACAAAATCAGAAAAAGGTAAGTGTAACGTCCTGTGTTCCGGTTGGATTTGATTCCTCCTTCCACTTCTCCGCCACTGTATTCTGTTCCCCTAGCAGAGGAGTAATGAGAGTCAAAGCTAGCCATTTTGGTAGATAAAGTCCAAGTTAGTAATTTCACGTCGTGAGCCGTTTGGTGGCTATTTATACTGGGTTCTCTCTTAATTTGGAGTTGAGTCATTCAGGGTGGATTGGGGATAGATGGTGGGTAGAGATCCAGAAAAAAATCTAGGCTGTGCTAGTGTGCTTTAAAGTGACTGGGAAAGGAATCAGAGCGTTTAGCAAAAAATCTGGTCTCCACCGTCTCCCCGTCTTCATTTCTTCCTAAGCTTTTAATCTGGTGTAAAGTCTTAAACAAGTGGTGGTCGGTCTTATTACCACTGACCCCAGCCTGCAATTTTATTTAAAAGCCAAACTGTTAGGACAAGTCTTTTTTTCCACACTTGGATTTGCCAGAAGCTTGCAAGGACTCCCTCGGTTTCCAGTGACCTTCCCCACAGACCCACACGCTGGCTGCTGTCTTCTTGCCGGATACACACACATCCACAGGCACTGCTGATTTTAACTTGGATTAATCATGAGACTGTGGATTAAACTCTCGTAAAGCAGCAGGAGGAATCCCTTGATTTTTTTCAGAGCAGTTGATTTCCACTAAGGAAAGAGATTTACTTTAATGTATTTGAATAACCTAGGAGCGCTTTAAAGAAACCAGATACCGCACACTGTAATCTTTGGAATGAAAATTGGATTCATCTCATCTGTTCTAGAAATTCTAAATTTTAAAATCCTTAGAAGTCAGTGATGGTTTCCTTAGAAGACTCTAGTATGGTTGCTACAAAAAAAAAAAAAAAAGCTAATTTTTACTTCTCCTTGTAATAAAAATGAAGATAAATTATCATTTCAGATCATTTACAGCTGTGCCCAGAAAACTTTGCATATTTCATGGAAAAAATTGTAAAGATATATTGTAAAATAGTCAATACATTTCCCGTGTTCTATACGTTCTTTTCATAACCATATTTACTAGTTGATATTATTGTATTTTTTTTCTTCATGAAGAAATACTACATAAAACAGAAAGACTCAGCTGTCACATAGCAATAGCTTAATCCTTTTTATTGACCAGGGGATACCTTCTGCCTTGTATACGACCTTAGTTATCAAGTAATTATTCAACACTTCCTGTATGTTCAGCTCAATTGGACACTTACTGAGAGTGAATATGGTGCAAAGCATTCAACTATGCTCTGGTGGGTTGGGTGAGGATGGGGGGCACTCAGTCATACCCAGCTTGGAGGAGCCCTCTAATGAGGAAGGGAGACAGATTTTAGAAATATAGAACACAAGCTGCTACTCAGATATTTATGCACACATGGTCCAGGAAAATCTGCACATTGAAGCCTTGAAGCCTGGTATTGCAGCTCTCTGTTCTTCATTCCTACTGAGATTAAGCAGTTTGCCTGCATGTGGGACAGCACTGATACCTCATCCCTAGAGACTATAATTCTTGCCTCTCTCTCATTCATTCTAGTTGTATACTTCAACACCAAAGAGGAGGTTCGGCTTTCTGGGGGTGATTCCGAAATATTGAAGTGCAAAGAAGAGATACTCCTACAGAGAAAAATATGACCAAAAGCAATGGAGAAGAGCCCAAGACGGGGGGCAGAATGGAGAGATTCCAGCAAGGAGTCCGCAAGCGCACACTTTTGGCCAAGAAGAAAGTGCAGAACATCACAAAGGAGGATGTTAAAAGTTACGTGTTTCGGAATGCTTTTGTGCTGCTCACTATCACCGCTGTCATTGTGGGTGAGTCATTTGATAAAAGACAAAGAAAACTGTATCTTGTTTCTTTGTGGCATCTGGCTGCCGGGGAACATTATCAGATGGACTGATTGTAGGTATTCAAAATGATAGTCCAGGCTTTCCTCTGAACTTGATAATTTTTTTTTCCCACAAAAATGACATTTTGTTGGCATGTTCAGAACAATATATAGTAAACACGTGAGAATCTGAAAGAAGCATCATTAGGCATTATGCAAATCAATTAATTATGTGAAGAAGGAAAATAAATATTTTCTAATTTATGTAAGGATAAAGAAGTGATAATTTTATCATTAAGCACAAGCAGTTAAAGAATAACAAAAACAAGCACCCATGCCAGATTTGGCAAAGATGTAATCATTCTACAATGCCACTTTCACTTAAAACTAATTTATACAATTAGTACACCCAAAATGAGTTACATGTCCCTAACAGTAATTATATTCTAACGTGCTGACTTGAGGCTGAGTATCAACACTTAGACATAGAAGCCGAATCTTTTATGTGTTTACACTCTCTCACCCAGACTGGGAAAGGTAAATTAGGGAAAATGTTTTAACACAGAGCTCTTTCATTCATTGCCCTGCAGAGTCTGCCATAACCAGTTATATCTTTTTTGAAACATTTCAATCTCTTACTAATTTAGTATGGTTGACAGCAATCTGTACTAATAAAACATTATTTGGCTTGGTTTATTTACTGTCTAAAGTTACAGTTCATTACTTATGAGTGGCATTGATTCTACTTGAAAACATAGCTGAAAAATTACTTATTTAAATTTTTAACCAAACCAATATAGAAATCTTTAGGCTGCAGAACATACAAGCCAATGCCATATTGTTAAAAAAAAAAAAAAGCCTTAACCTAAATTTT